TGTGCCACTCTGCCTTGGAGCCAGTTGAGTACAGACTGAAACCTCCACAAACTGTAAGCCAAATAAACCTTCCATCCTTCCTTCATTTTGGGCATTGCGTATTTTGTCTCAGCAACAAGAGAAAAGTAACTAAGACAGAATTTGGTACCAGGAACGGGGTCATTGCTGTGACTATACCTGACCATGTGGTTCAAGAGCCTTTGGAAGTGGCTTGTGGAAAGTGTTTGGAAAGGTTCGGAGATATCACCTAAAAGAGCACAGCTGGAATGCCTTCAGCTGTTCTGTATGGGAGATTCTGGTCAGAGCTCAGAAGACCAGAAGGCTGATAGAAATCCTGCAAGCAAACACCAAGCTAAGGAGGTTTCTGCTGGGAAGAAGGAGTGCATTGGGTGCTGGACTCCAGATGATGTATATTATGGCTTGGCAGAAAGTTTGTCTGCATTTTGCTTGCGTCCAGAGACTTCGTCTAAGACTGAGATTAAGGGCGGTGGACTAATTATCTGGCAGAAGAAATTTCAAGGCAGTTGAACTTTTGAGGCAATGGCATGGTCATTGTTGGGGGCATTTAGCCAGATTTATGTTGAGAATCAAGAGCAAAGAGCCCAGTAGGATGATTTAAAATGTTGTGAGCTTGGCCAAAGAGGAAGCTCCAGTAAATCTGTGGACTGCAAAGATAGAACTGAGGAGATCTCCATTGCTAAGAAGGAACATGAGAATAGAAGATGGCCTGAGGCATCACAAGAAGCAGCAAGTCTCCACCTCTTGCAGTCTCAAAACTGCAGAGGTGAAAGATTTTGCTTTGAGAAGAATGCTGCAGAGCACTGTGTTCCAGAATGGTGGTCACAGCTGCACCTGGTGGTGGCATAGAGAATTTGCTCCTCAGAATTTGATTCAGAGTGCCCAGTGATCCAGGCACTCAACCCCTGTGGCCAAGTGAGGGGAAGGCTTGGCTACTGCTCCAGGTGGCAGCAGACCTTGGCATCATCCATGTGGCACTGGTTTTAGGTGCATAAAAAGTGTAAGAGTTCTGAGGTTAAGGAAGCTTCCACCCAGATTTCAGAAGAAGGCCTGGGCGGCCAGTTAGTATGCCCTTAAGAGGGTAGTATGTGAAGCTGTGTGAAGCAAAAGGTGCAGTGGAGACCTCAAAAGTTTGGAAAGCCAGGAACGTGGATTGTCTGAGGAATGCTGCTAGGAGGGAGCAAAGTAGGCCCAAGAGAGAAGCTGTGGGAGCTGTAACCACTGGAAGTGCCACAGAGGTGGACTCATGCAAGCTCTTTGGAGCTCACAATGTGCCACAGATTGCTTCAGATGCTGTAGATGGAAACACAAGACACACTGTTAGCCCTGCTGGATTTTAGACTTGTTTTGGTCCCAATGCTCGGTATTCCCCCATTTGTACCTTTTGGAATGGTAATGTTTATTTTGTGCCATTGATGAATACTGGAACTGTGTAACTTTTCATTTGTACAGGGACTCACAGCTAAGAGTTTGCTATACATCTCAGAGAAGACTTGGGACTTGGACTTTTCAGCAATGCTGAAACTGTTAGGATTTGGCAACTCTTGCAGATGGACTAAATGCCTTTTGCATAAAGGGATGTACATGAGTCTTTGGTGGGTGAAACTTGAGGCTTTTATAGGTAAATGGATGCAACTAAAGAGTATACTCATAAATGAAATAAATCAGACCTACATGTGTAAAAAAAATAAAATAAAATACATTTCTGAAATTGGTTTACATGATACTGTGGGTTGTGGAGAACAGTTTGTCAGGTTGTTGCTTTCTCTTGATTTTTCCTTTCTCTTTCTTTCCTTTCCTCCTTCCTTCCTAAAGGTACGTCAAGTTAAGGGACATTTTCAAATTGATCACATGTAAGGTTTACGTTGCCCTGAGCTCCAGGGTCCTGCACATGCCCTATTCAGAAGGTGGCATAGCTACGTAGTTGGTGCTCATCAGATACACATGGGCTCCTTTACTAGGGGCAGATTCTCAGTGATGTGCCTGTCCCTTCATGGTCAGCTTTGGCCAGTGGATCACTAAGCCAAGTGACACACGTTGTGCCTGCCTCCAAGCTGGTATGCTTCTCCTGTGCCCTTTCCCTTGCCACACAGTTGGGAGCCAACAGGTATTAAATACTCATTTATTTCACAGGGTCCCTGGAGTACACACTCACCGGCTCCTACTGAGCTAAGACTCTGTATTCTGCACCCCTGACACTCTGAGGATTGGTGCCAGGGTGCCACTCTCCTTGGTCATCTCTGTGCTTTTCATGATCTGTACTCTCTGCTAAATGTCCACAGGCAACATCTTTCGGGGTAGGTGGGCACGGAGGAGAAACAATCTTAGAAGAATACAAAGAAAACATTTGGTTTCTTGTTTCCAAGCGTTTGGTGAGATGGAAACGTGACCGGGAACCTGGGCTCCCAAAAGCTGGCCTGTTGTTCCTCCAAGTTGGAGCTACTCTGGCCTGGGTGTCGGGTTTCAGGGAAGCTCTTAGGACTCACTGGCCCCCAGCAAAAGAGGATTCAGGGGTGTCTGTGGGAGTCCGCATGCATTGGAGGGTCAAATTCTGAATTCACTTTTTGTATTATCTGAGGGCACTCCTACTCCTGAAAATGCCTCACGGTATCTCCTGAATCTGAAAAAGTGAAGAGAAAGACTATTTGCTTTGATGTAATCAGATTCTCCAGAATTTAATCCTATATCCTATTTATGGCTGAGCGAGCCATTCAAAATTAAAATGAACCTTTCATCCCTGTGTATCATAAATGGGCATTTATCAGGATGATATGATTTTGCAATCCATCTGAATACGGAACCAGAATTTGTTTGCCTTCCGCCTCACCATGTAATTACCATGCAACAACAACAAAAGTGACATGTTTGAAGAACAGATAAAATGCTGTAAATTGGCCAGTAATGGTGATATTTCCTCATCTTCTGAAAAACCCATTTATTCTCTCTCAACAAATCAAGGCGTTGTCAGCCCATCCTCATCTTGTGGCCGGAGGGGCTCCACCTATTTCTGGACGTGAGTGACTCCTGGAATGCAGATGAGGCGTCCTAACGAAGGTGCTCCGCCCGGCAGCTGGCCCCTGCTTGCCTCGATTTCTAAATCATCCATAATGGGGCCAAGACCTCCTGCGCACTAAAAAGAGCGAGCTGACATGCTGGACAAACTGTTAATTTTTTCCTGAAGAAGCTGCTATATCGCACATCTGTCACGGGGGTGCAGACCATTACTCGCTGAGTCGGAGGAGAAAAATCTGCGGCTGTTTTCCGGCTGAGTTGTGAAGGGATCTAATGGAGAAGCGCAGCAGTGTGGAGCCCAAACCTGGCTTCCTCGGGCGCCGGGCTGTGCCCTCCCTCTGTGGGGCTGCGAAGGCCGTCGCGTGGTGCTGTCTCTGTGAAGATTCCAGGTAGAGGAGAAGGCTGAGGAAGCGCGTAACAGCCAGGCTTGCAGATGTGGGCCGCTGTGCTCGCAGCTGGGAACTGAGGGCCGCAGAGCCGGGCCGGGGATGCTGGGGTTCTGCCCTTTAAATCTCACACCGTGAATCTGCGCTTCCAAGGGCTTCGCATCCCCCTGAGAACGATCTCATGCATCTCACTCTTTGCAGTGCAGCACGGACGCCCTGAACTGCTTCCGCCACGGACTCCGGCCACCAGCGAGGAGCGTCGGAATCCTGGGTTAGCCACACAGGCATCAAGCAGAAATCGTGTCTGGACACTTCCTACATGTGTGCTGCAAGTCCAACTACCCCCGTTTTTCCTCCTCTCTTTTTTCTAAACTCACTTGCTCATCCCGGTTGTGAAATGCTGGTATATGAAGAGCCTCATTTCACTGAGGGTTTGTTTACTCTTAGAAAGCAGAGGCTGTTGGCTTACTGTCCTCCAGCCTGCGTTTATTAAACGATGGCACTTTCAGGAAGAAATCGGCACTTTTTAGAAATTTCGCAGGAGGATGCAAACAGAAGACAGTTTTGACTGTTTTTATTTGGAACAGTATTATGAGTCTTATCTCTACCATGTGACAGTTGAAAGCCAAGCGTTATGTATTCTTTTAAAATGCTAGTGATTTATTGTGAAAATTCAAACTAAGGGAAATAAAAACGTTAAAGTAACAAAAGTAGCCTTCAACTGCTGAGTTTCACCCTTCAAAAATTAAGGCGTAAACACAGGACATCCTTTAATGCCACAGGATTGGGTTTGTGGGTCTGAGAATGATTTAAACTCTCTGCCAGTGCAAAGACAGGAGATGACTCTAACGTTCAGATAAAACTCAAAGTGGCACTAGTAGATCATACTCCTGGCAGCTAATGGCACCAACTCGCTAGAGACAAATCTGGGTCTACTTAAGACGTCAGGTGTGTAAAGTAATGAGTCTGTGCTTAGGAGGAGCCCAGGAGAAGGGGCCTTCCTGGTCCGCTTGTAGGTGAGCATGTATTACTGCCATTCTGCTAAATCAATGAGTATTTAATACCCGTTGGATTAAAAAAAAACCCACTTACTTTAACAACTCTACTCCCTTTTTCAGGAGAAAAGACAAATTTGATCAATGTAAGTAGTGGAGGGCCTCTTACAGCAAACAAAACTCAAAGAAAAGTGAACATTTTGATGAGTGTTCTAAAATATTTAGATATCCTCACAGCTTTAAGGCAGGTACAGCTTTCCAGCAGGAAATGGGGTGCGTGGGTGCCATGTAAAGTGGTCAGGGAGGGAACCCAAGGTCCCCCCCCAAAGTCAGAACTCCTGTGTGGGAAGCAGCTTGGGGACAGTGGGCCAGATCCTGAGTCGGGGACAACAGAACGGACTGGAAAATGCGGCAGAACAGGTTGCAACCAGCTACTAATACATCTGTAATTCAAATATATTTATCAGGTTTTTTTTCTCTAAGGTTTTTTCTAGATACTGAACCTGTCCAGTGGTTAAATTAAAAGTAATTTAACTGCACTGTTAAATGTTAATTGTCAATGAGTAATAAATTAAAAACAACTTAAGGATACTTTCAATTTTATTTTTATTACTTTAGGTTGAAAGGAAAACATGTAAAGCAGAAACACAATGATTGCTTATAAATACCATTATTAAACATTGTTTTATTCTTTCTTTCTTTATTATACCATCAGTACAGCTTCCTACCAAAAGAAAAAATAAACCTAAAAATAATCCTAAGTATTATTTTCTAACAGCTTCATTTTGCAATACCAGTGAGATCACTTTTCTTTTTAAGAGACAGAAAAAAAGATGAAAATAGTTTTAAAATGGGTATCAGCAGTGATTCTCCTCTTTCATGAAATATCTGCCCAAAGAGAAATGTACTAAAGGGAAGCATTTTAAGTTAGTTAAGAGAAAACCAATTAATAATGTTGAAATGAACATATTAATAAAAGCAGCATTTTGCAATCATGTCTGTAAACTGCATACATGTGTGCTGTAAATCTACCGACATGGACATATTGACTGTAACCCTACAGTTCTTTTGAGACATAGTGTCACCATGTAGTTCAGCCTACCCTTGAACTCACTAAGTAGCCCAGGCTAGCCTCAAAGTCTTGGAGATCTTCCTGTTTCAGCCTCCTGAGTGCTGGGATTACAGGAGTGTGTCACAATGCCCAGGTGTAACCTTACTGTTTAACTCCTGTTTGATAACCACAGTATGAGTTATAAAATCTGCGTCTTCAAATGCTAAGACCAATGAACTAGTCAATTTTAGTTAGCAATGAATTTTCTTTTAAAAAGGTGTCAGATAATTTAAAACTGCAAACGAATCTGAGGGGTATACAGCTGATAAAAGAAGGAAGGAAATGACTGCAGCACACAGTCTGGCTCATATCAAGTCAGTGCTGTGGCCACTCCCACCCGTCTGGGATACTGTGGGGAATGGATTATCATCTCGGCAGGAAGGAGGCACAACCAGTTATCTGCAGAAGGCAAGAGTGGCTTCGTGCGGGAGCGGGGAGGATCTCGCCACCTTTTCAAGGAGCTGTGAATGACGCATTCTACACCAGGAACTGTTTTGGATGCTTTGGGTCCTAGGGACATGTTCCTTGGCAGAAATTAATGTAACTACATGCAAAACATATATTAGTGGGTTTCATATTCTAGAAAGACATTTGGGTTGCACTGAAATTTCCTAATTGTGATGTGACCGGAAGGTGGGCTCTGCGCTGAGGCCGGGAGTCGGGGGTGGTCGGGGGCTGCCCTTCCCTGCCCCGAGAGGGCCTCGCAGATTCTGCAGTTCACCATCTCCACAGGGCATGAATTATGCTCCTTCTGTGAGCTGCAGGTCGGGCTCTAGGGGTCAAGACGGAGAAGCCCCTTCTGTTCCTAGAAACCGTGAAGGATGCTCTTCGGGGTGCTAGGCAGGCTGAGCGAGCATGTTCCAGGAGGAGCTTCAGCAAGTTTGTACCAGTGCAGAAAGGGACGAGAAGAAGCCTGCATAAGAACTGCGCGGGTCATCACGCCCCGCATCACGTTGGTATGCGAGTGTTCTGTACAGTGAGGGTTTGGCAACCTTTAGGACAAGACGGAGAGAAAAGCCACAGCCTCCTTTCCAGGAGGGTCACACCAGCTTTGCCATGGCCTCCCCACTACCAGGGCTCAAGACTGGGCTTTGTGAAATTCTAGGACTTCAGAAGATTTCAGGCAATGGAATTAAAAAACAAAATTAAAACTAAAAAACAAAACACATTTGCAATAGATCTTCGGACACCATACACTATTACAAAGAAGTTTTAAAGTCTTTACATAATCTCCACCGTCACTTCCCCCCTACATAAATACAGTGAGCATTTAGACAAAATAATTTAAACATGGCAAATTTCTAGTGACAAACTTTCAGAAAGTAACCATCTAAGGTCACTTTGGCTCACACAAATGCTTCACGGAGCAGCTCAGCCGGCAGTCTACAGTCCCTTAAATGTCCTGCTCTCTGACCACACGCCCCTAGGAAAGAAGGTCATTCTTAAAAGAAATGCGTACCTTTGGCAATCCAGAAAGTCTTTCAAATCATAGTGACTCTCCCTCCCTGACTTGGCAGGGGACATGTTTTTGTTTAGGGGACCACCGGACAAAGATCCATTCTCTGTTGCCTTTAAAAACTCTTTCTGGACAACTTGCAAAATTTAAAAAAAAAAAAAAAAAACTACTAGAAAAGTGATTTATATGGGCTCTCTTGACCTTTACTCAGCAAATACAGGTCTTTAGAAATAGAATGCAGTAATTATTAAATCTTCATGATGAAAATAACAAACCAACCCCATCAAACTAAGAGTAATTTAGAGTCTTCGATACTATGACACATGGTGGAGAAATACCTCAATCCAAGCATAACATAAAAATAACTGATTTTAGATGTGAAGTATCAGCTTGGATTTTTAAAAGGGGATTTAGGTTCCTTTCCCTTTCTCTTGTTCACCTTGTAAAGGGGTCAAGACATTGCCAGAAATCTGAATTCTTGGGAGAGCCGTTTAACCCTTCAAATAAATTGATTCAACAGTCTTATGATTTACTCCAACAATTAAAATTTAAAATCAGTTTCTTACACTTGAGTTGATCTTAAAAAAGTATCAGCCTTTGGGAAGAGAGAGGTAGATGTCAGGATGAATAGAATTTACAGTTCAGTCATGGTAAATTTTAAAAATACATTTTTCTTTCAATAATTGTTTTATGTGCTACATGAGGTAAAATTTATAAAATCTGCACTAAAGTAATGTTGAGGGCACTCTGGTGATAATGGTGAGGTTCATTTTTGTCACATGTCTGAGGCAAACAGGAGTTGCTCTTTGCTGTGAACGTTATACTACGTTGTCCAAAGCTATGAAATTAAGCCAAATTCAGGGACTATGAAATCGCCCAGCCTCTCAGCATTTCGCTTAGAAAATGAAGAAGGGATGAAAGGAGGTATGACCCTACTTTGGAAGCACGCGGTGCTCACATCTATCTGGGCATCGCATGCATACACGGACTGAGCTATAGTGAGCAGCATCGACGTCTGAGATCAAAATAAGAAATGGCTAGAAATGACTGAAAGAATTTACAGGGCACAGGTGTTCGCTTCAGCACCATGGACAGTGTCCCTCCGCAGGACTGGATTGGGAAGCTAGTGATAAGTTTGAGGCAACGTTGATTTCTTCTTCAAAACCAGAAGGTATAAGTCGTTTCAGAACAAAGGGACAGCTGAGTAAAAACTGTAACACCTTTCTTTCTTGCTCTTCTCAGGGGGATTTTCCTGAGGCGGGGGTAGGAGCTGCAAGAGTGCTTTTTGGAAGAGGAAATCCAAGTCCTAAGCCTTTTGGCCTCTGCACCGCTCGGATTGGCTCTGCGATCCCCTTGCCATCCCGGCCGAGGCCCGAGCCCGGACTCCAGCCCATGTTCTGCAGCATGCGGTTCCCAATGTTGTTTTCTAGGATGGGCTGGGCGTTTTCACCGACCCACCCTGCAACAGAACAGGAGAGCACACGTCAGGGTGGAGGGAGGCGAAGACCTTCAGCTATGAAACCTGTGTTCGCCTATGTGTTTTGTTGTTCACAAAGTCCCGGGAGGGGGGCGGTTACTTACACGCTTGGATTCACCTTCCAGGACTTACTGTAATTGAGGTAGCAATGGAAGAACCATCCGTCTCACTTAGACGGGATTCCATCTCTGCAGGCTTCTGCTCTCTCACATGTAAAACAGGCACAATACAATGCAGACTGCCTGTCTCACACAGCTTCAGGACCAGGGGAGGTCATGTGTCTCAAGGACATTCTTTAAAGTACGACCTACTCTACACACAGGTTTATTTTCATGACTGCATGAGCCTCATGGAAAAACATGAAAATCACCAATTTATAATATTTTAACACCTTACTTTTGGCCAGGACCTTGACATTCAATGGCCAAAATTAAAACCAAGCAGAAAGCACAACTGGGGGCATCTTCAATTCTTAGGAAGTTTTGCTCTTAGACTCCTCTTGTTACTTATTATTTAGCCCTCTGTGTCCTCTGATTCTCTCCACCTTGTCTTCATGGGTCTACACTTTAATGACAACAGCAGCAGGTAAGGAGGGAAAGGTGGAGAGAAGCCATAAGGAAGATATATACCAGCTGTGAATGAAAAATATGGTGACTATCTAAATACAAAATCATTATGGTAAAAAACAAATTGGCATCAATCTCCCTCAAAATCCTCCCCCTCAGTGTGAACACACTTGTCCCATCCTTCTGTCACTTTCTGTAGCAGTTCTGGAATCCTCTTTCATCAGTGTCTGTAGTTGTGCTGTCATGGCTGTCCTGATGTCCTGAATCAATTCAAGACATTTACCTTTCCTGGTCAGTTTTACTTGGAGAAGAGCCAGAAGTTGCCCAGTACTGGATGTGGTGAATACGGTGGATGATGGAATGCTGTAATGCTTTTAGGAGCTTGCCTTTCGTGTGGATGGCTCTTAGCAGCAGCATTCACTGCACTTTTGATCACACTTCATGAAGACACGGTGGAAAGAGGACTTCCAGAACTGCTTCAGAAAGCAGCAAGAATGATGGGATAAGCATGTGCAAAGTAAGTATAGGGGGGTGGTACTGTGCAGAGGACTCATGGTAAGGTGCCTTTTATGATAATAAAATTTAACATTGAAACATGCATCAGGTATTTTGATCATGCTACCTATCTTCACAGCAGTCCTCCTAAGCCTCGAGGGTAGAACTATCTCCCTTGTAAACATTTTTCATTAGTCCGTGTTTGCAGAGCATTATGATTACATCCATGGTGGAGAGCTGATGCACAAACACAACGTCCATTAATTCTTTTCCCTTCCCCATCCTCCTCCTGCCTTCCTTCTCTAGATCCCTTTCCATTTGCAAAAGATCTGTCTCCCTGGTTCCTACTATTCATCTTTTATTTTACTCTATAAATCATTTATACTTTGAGTTGCCCGTATAAGAGAAAGCATGCAATATCGAGGTGCATTCCTTTTTTCTACAAATGACTCAGCTGAATTCTTTTTTATGACCATGTCTACTCCATTATGTACGAATATCACCTTTTTTTAATGCACCAGCTGATGGAGGTGTAAGATTTGGCTATTGTGCTGCTATAAACGTAGGTATGCGTGTATCTCTGTGATATGATGCCTTTAACTCATCAGGGAAGATGCCTAGAAGGTGGATGTCTGGGTAAATGGAGTTTTTAATCTTAGGTTTTTGAGGACTCTCCATACTGACTTCCATACTGGGTGCACTGGTTTATAGCCCCACCAATAGTGCAGAAGGGCTTGTCTCCCCCGGCCTGTTCCCGTTTGGGTAGCTCCCCTCTTAAGGACTCGAGGGTGCTTGTGGAGTGCCGGACGTAGCACATCTTCACTCTGAAATGCAGACTGTGTCGACCCAGGCAGAGGTCAGAACGGGCAGCTCAGTCTTCTCAGAACCTCATGGCCCAGCCAGTCTCAGCACTCACGCACACCCCGGATGCGTCCTGCCCCTCCTCGCAGCAGCGAGTTTTTCCCTTCATTATCAGTTTGCTTCCTGTCTGACTCAGGCATATGAGAAAAGCACTGCCCCTACCTTAGCTGCTAATTTGAACGGGGCATACTGGGCAATAGCAACTACATCACTCCCTGTGATCCTGAACTGCAGAACATGGAAGCCGTAAAAGAGCTAGAGATGAGCTTTCCAAATGGTGCCTTTCTTACTTACCACGAAGAGGTCACCCTCTTCTCAAGGCCCTATCTCAAACATTTTGGTAGTCTTAATCTGAGTGCACTGTCAGATCTGGAATAATAGTAGTGATTCTTAGCATTTACTAAATCCATTACAGGGAGTAAGAACAAGTCACCACAACAATTAGTTGGCTTTGGACTCATCAAATGGATTCTCCATGAAACAAGAACTTTAACATGGAGCAGGAAAAAAAAATAACAAAGACCAAAAACAAGAACAAAAAACCACCTCCAACTGGCTACAGCTTTGATGGAAATGCCCGGTCTCAATGAAAATGTCTTCACTACTGTTTACTGATTGAACAGGGGAAAATATACATACGCAGAGATTTTACATGGGGGAATCTGCTACAAAAACAAAGAAGAGCTCTTCGTCAAATGTCTTGCTAAATGTATCAGAAAAGCAGTTCAGCCTTCATTTTGGAGTCATGGTGATAGTGGTGACCCAGCCTGACCTCAGAGCTGTGGACTTCCTCTGAGCAGCCGCCGCTGAACTCTGTACCTTGCCTCCTGTCCCTGGATTTTTCAGTGACTGCCACGAGTTAATTGATTTTGGTCCACAAGCTAAAATCAGACCAGAGGTCTAATGTTGCTTCAGGCCACACATCTGTTTATCTTTATATTTTTGGCACAACAGCTAGCAAAAGAGCAACCTTAAAATTTGATATTTAATAAAAAATATGAGGGCAATTTAAAACATCTCCATGGAAAGTGCTAAGTGATGGTCCATTCTGGGTCCCAAAGGGAACTGAAAGTGGTAACTGATTCCCAGCATCAATTTAAGACGTTGGTGTTTCAATCCTGGAGACTTGGGGTGGCCAGCCTACTCCTAAGCGTGTGTTTTTACAAAGGTGAAAACGAACTCATTCTAAGTTTTAAAATGCTATGTTCATTTATTGCAAAAACAAACCATCATTTTATACGTTGAAGAGAACAAGCAGAAATAAGGACATTTAGTTTAATTTAATACTTCAGGCAAAGCCTCTCCATACAGGAAAACATCCTATAAAGAAGCAACACATCCCTTCTTTGTCATGGAAAATGCTGTAGAGTGGGTCCTCTGCCGGTCTGCGGTCCTGTTCTGTGAGATTACGACCTAAGAGCGGACACCTCAGCCTCTGCACAGGTGACACCATGGCCACCCTGTCCTTTCTTCCTGTTCCTGCCATACTAAGTCTTCCAGGAGCCTTCCAGAAGCTCTGCTTCCGGGTGCCCTCGTCCCTAGCCTGTCTGCTGGGTCTCTGTGGTTGGTCACTGCCAAGCCCGGTCCGTGCTTCCCCGTCAGATCTTCCAGAAAGCACTGAGGATGGTACTTCACTTGTGCAACTGGCTCAAGAGACAAAGCTCCTGTATCGGCCTCTCTCAGCCACTCGTCTACCTGGCTGGACGCAGGCTTAAGCGGCGGGTTGCTCAGTCCTTTGGCTCCTGAAGTGCTGGACTGACGCTGGGTCAGCAGCCCGTGGAGGGAGGTGGCTTTGGCCCCGTCCCCGCCCCGCACTCAGGTCTCGTTAGCTCACCATCCCTCTTCTCTCACCTTTGCTCTCATGTTTTACCAGCCAATTATCCTTATTAGTGGTCATTAAAACAGTGACCTGTAACACTGGCCTCTCTTCTCAGTGACTAATTTAGGGACACAGACATAGATTACTTTTAAGAACTCGGGGAGCAGCATTCATTAAGCACAGTCTGAGAAGCGAAAATGGGGTAGTGCTCCTACTGATGGCCAAAAGTTTGCTTTCGTTTTTTTTTTTAATGTAGAAAAGCCTCACTAATTCAGAGTATTCTGAACTTGCTCTATAATATGCAGCTGTGTCTCAGATGACTCATTAAGTAAAATCAGTTCAAATGCCTTCATTAATTAAAAACAGAGTGTACTTTTTAAAATAATGGAAATTGAATGGAAAAGCAATTACTTTTTTTCTTAAGTAATGAAAACTGAATGAAAGAATAATTCTTGGTAATAGATTTTTTTGTGTTACTGAAATACACTTCTTATGGAATGATAATGTATCAAAAATATTCATTTTCAAAAATCTAAAAGAAACCCCTTACAATAAAGGCACCCAGGGATGTTTGCTTGCTGTGACACCCGCCTTCCTCTGAGAAATTTTAGTGGAGATAATGTTTCAAATCATTTAAGAAAATTCACAGAGTAATGCATGAATTGTAATATTAACCTCTCTCCATTTGTAGATGGAAATACATATGCTGACATATTTGGATAACTTAGAATAAAATGATGCCCCACACCCTTTAGAAATTACAAATGTTTCCATATCCATCAATTCTTTTGAGCTTCCTTATCAGCCTAAAAGGTAGGCATGACTGGCCTCATTTTATAGATGAAACTGCTATTCAGAAAGGTAATACACCTGGCCCAAATCAACTAGTTAGAAAATGTCCCAGTGGGAACCTCACCTTAGGATATATGAGCTCAAATGTTACCCCTTCCACTGACTCAGAATTATTTTCTATTAGGTCATTTCTTCTCCTACATTTTCCCAACTGACTGAGGCTTTAAATCTATTCAAATATTTAAAACTCCTGGAAAAAAAATATTAGCCTTAACAAGTATTACAAATCTGACTAATGAGTCTGAAATATCTTCAGGCTCATTTTGTGCAATAAACCTAGCTACTATAGCTTTCTTTTGGTAGTATTTAAATTGTGCCTTAAATTTTAGTTGGTTTTGTTATAAAAAGCATAAACTAGGTTTCATTCTTTTATTCATTTTAATTATCTT